CAAATAAGGTTAAGATATACATTCAAAAATTCGGACTGATCGGCATTTTTTGATGAGTATAGGTGATACGCACCATATAATGCAAAAATATTGTAACACAAAAATGATTATTGCAGTTCTGAGCATAACTCTCAAATTAAAAATCCATGAAAAAAAATCGAGACAAAATTTTTTTATGGATTGACTCCCTTTTTAAAACTGAATTGAATGGTTTTTTAAAATCCAATTTATGAGTGAACAAAAATTTAATGTGTTTTTAGTTTATCATTAATTACTATTGTAATTGTTATTATTATTATTATTAAAAAAATTTTTTGTCAATCATGATCATCACCATAACGGATTTCTTCTCAACGGATTTTTTTGGCTGGTCCCATCAATCTGCTGTGACGAGGTTTGACTGTACACTCACCTACCATAAATATCCGACCATCTGAATTGTGTAACATCAAATGAAAAGAGTCCTTGCTAAAAAAGCAATGTTTTCTTAAATAAAACCTTTCTTACTTTACTAAGTAGATTTGTACTTGATATCAAAATCTCCAAATTACAAAAGCAAATTTTCAATCAGAATCTTTACATGTAATAAAAGGTGAAATTTCTTTGTTGTAATGTATATTATTTCATTAATAAAACATGCTCAACGTAATGCAATAAAAATTTTACAGTCACATGATTTTTGAAATTTGTTAAATATATTAAAATTTTTCTTTTACATTTATTCCTATATACAGTCTAACCTCGCCACAGCAGATTTTGTCACAGCGGATTTCTTGTCACAACGGATTTAAGTATTGGTCCCTTTTTTTATTAATTAAAAAATATTTGTCACAACGGATTTTATTAATAAACTTGCGTCACAGTGTTAATGGATTTTTGATGGTGATCTCTCTATATGTCTACTAAATCTCACCACAGCGGATTCACGTGACATTCAAGTTATAAAATTATCCAAATTACTAAAATTGATAAACAAAAAATTTTTTTTTCCACAATTAATAAAATTATTCACGGATTTTTTAATAACAATAGATCAAAATTTTTTCGTTTCTAAAAATTTTAAATAAAATAATAAGACAATTAAATAGATTATTTGTTCAAGTAACAAAATTTTTAAATTCTAAAATAAAATAACAAATAAACAATTAAATAAATGGGATTATTATCCTTTATCAAAGATTCATAATTTTCAAAATGTATAAATTAAGATGAAATTGTATTATTAAAACTATAATTAAAAAATAAAAAATGTCCCAACAATCATCCTCCTCTAAAAAACATGTATATATTACTGCAGAACAAAAACGCAAATTATGTAAATTAAAAAAAAATAAACCTGAACCAAAAAATATTGAACTAGCAAGCCAGTTTGGAATCAGTACAAGTCAAGTTAGTGATATATTAAAAGATTCTGAAAAATGGCTTAAAATTGATCCAGACTCCTATCAAGCAAAATTAAAAAGACCATCTATTGTCCAATTTG